ATATTTTTAAAAAAGACTGTATGGAATCTGGTAGACAACTGTCTGATATCCCAGGGACTTTTTTCAAACATCTCTTCTGTAATTGTTCCCCTTCCTTGAATCTCCTTTGCTTACTTATACCCTATTCCTCTAAGGTCATATCCAATTTTACCTTAATTCTTGAATTGTCCATTAAGGGAGGGTAGAACCAAAATAAGAGATGTTCTACTTTCCAGAGACATTGAGGCATAGGGCCTAGAAAGAATGGGAAGGCATAAAATTCATAGTTTTAATATAAATATTACAGCACTAAATGAGATGAAAGTTTAATAGTTTATTCAATGCTAAATGGAAGTTTAATAGTTTATTCAATGCTAAATGGAAGTTTAATAATTTATTCAATGCTAAATGGGTGCATAATAGCAAGTCTAATATACATACCCTCTATATCCATTCTTTCCCTGTTCCTCCTTTACTGATACAAAGACACAGATATATACATATTTGTTCACCCAACTCACTATTTCCCAATAGCTAAAATGACAGAGCTTTCTCCATAACCCATTCCTGCCCCAAGCAGCCATACCATACCCACCTTCTGGAAGTCAGACCCTGGAGGTGATTGCTTACTGGCCACAAGGGCGCTCAACATTTCCATGGTCTTTGTGGTTTCTATTCCTGATTCTCTGGAGCAGAAATATCTGCTGCAGTCCTTCCTTTTGGAAATGTGAAGAGTTCTGGAATTGTTTCTGAAAAGAAAGGAAGATAGGTGGGTTAGAGTCAGTAACAATGTGATCATAATCATTCTTATACAAGTAGGCTATAGGAAGGAAACTCAGCAGGGCAGAGTATCTGATGATGAAAGAAAATACCTCAATATGGTCATTTCTTTGTTACCTTTCTCTACATCCTCTACCTTTTGTTCTCCCATTATATAACTGTATTGTCAACCTGCTCATTCACTTTCCTTAAAAATACTCATTTCCCTTATTTTCTACAAAACTCCTTTCTTGCCTGATCTCCCAAGAATGGAAGTAACAAAAACCTGTAAAGCTTTAAATCATTATCTGTGCATTATCTTCCATTCTTTTGCATTGAGACTATGATATGTGTACCTGGCATTAAAGCAAGCTTTGTGAAGACAAGTGTCTTGATTTATGTAACTTAAGGTCAGAGTGCTTGTCCATTAGCAGATATGCACAATCAGCTCAACAAAGGTAGAGGGAAGGGAAGGGGAGGAGGAAGAGAGGGATAGGAATGGTAGGAGTTTCTTGAAGATATGCTGCCCAGCGTTGACGGGAGTAGAATTTTAGGAAGTCTTGAGGGAAAAAAAGTATATTTGTTACGATGGAAAGCAGATGAGAGGAGTGAAGACAAAGAGAGACAGCTTTAAAAGGTTTTTAGTTTAAATACATAGAAACAAAAATTTAAAAATCAGGGTGGGAATCCAAAAACCTGGCCTAAAATTCTATAGCACCAGATAACCCTTACTGACATAAACATGACATCTTTTATGTACGTGTGTATATGCATGTGTACATTTTATGTGCATATTTTATATAAAATGTATTTTTATGATCAGAAGATTGACAAACAACAGAAAATATGAAATTAAAAAGTAAAAGCATTGCTCCTAAGACATTCATTTTTAGTTGTTTCCATTCAGAAATGAAATTGACAGTTTTAATTTTGATGAGCTATCAAGAGGCTGTTGGACCACAAAATACTAAATAATTCCTTTGGCTAAATCAAAGGGATTTGGGGTTTGACTAACTTCAACATACTTATTTAGTTGGAAGGATAAAGGGGGCTATATGAAAATTAGAACCCTCAAACTTTGTTTGTTTACTTTCAGGTCAGTTTACCCTCCTCCCCATCGTTATTTTATCTCCCAAGAGATGCTGGAGTAGTGTGTCCCCCTTCCTAGCTTGGTAGCACTACTATTCTAGAATGCTGTTAAAATAAAGGGACCACTGGGATCACTGACATGAACTCATTGATATTGATGGTGTTTTGTATGCAAAGACTCAGGGCAGAAGCAAGACAGTTGGCTTCTGAAGGGCTAGGAACCCAGCAAATACAATCAGCAATGAAGAGTTTAACCCACTTGTAAAATACTGAATATTAACAATCAGTTAATAAAAACAGCTACTATTACATTGATTCTTTGAATGAATTTTTATTGAGCACACTCAATGTGCCAGGCAACTGTGCACTGTGAATACAATGATGAAAAACTACTAAGCAAAGATGACTTCCTGTGCTTTGGAGAGTTTATATTGAAGTTGGGGGCCATATATTAATCAAAGGAATACATATTGTAAAATTACAACCATGTTAAGGGCTACAACATAAACATACAGGTTTATGATTTTTTTTCTCCAAAACTGTATACGGGCTGAGGGAAAATTAGGAATATTGGTGATTATTTAAAAGAATTTCATTGAAGTTTAATGCTTAGATTATTGATGGATACTGTTGTTGTATATACAATCTTACTTAAAAAATTACATAAACGTTATTGCAAAATTAAACTCTAAATAAAGAAGAAATGTGCTTACAATCCCGAACTATTTCTGCGTGTCTATATTCTCACAGAAATTATTAATAAGTATAGAGTCTGCTTACATTCTCATTCTAGACCTGGTAGGTAAGCTTTGTTACAGTGAGGACAACCAAGATTTAGAAATATATTTAAAAAACAAAACAAAAACAAACCACCTCAATTGTGTTATAGGCTATTTGTTCTCTGAATCCTCCTCTACTTTAAAAAACAGACACATACACACTTCCTATGCCTATTGGAGGCCTATGTGTTTTATGTCCAGCTCCCTAACCCCTCCTCCCCATTCTTACTCATTCTGTGAACCTGGCAATCCTTTAGACATATATGTTCTGGTATGCTGAGTTACCAAAGTTGTAACCAATTTTTAATTTATTATCTTAGAGATGAAGCCGTATGGGGTAAGGTGGGAATACTTTTGATATATTACTCAGCAGTATTATTAGCAGAAAGATAACTAAAGAGTATTATATGCCCTACTAGAACAGCCATGAATAAGAGAAAGATGGTTTATAAAGCAGGAAGTCTCCATTCACAAAGTCAAGGGGAATTTTTAATGAGTTAACTCAGGTAAAATTAGGAATTTGCCCACATTTAAACATAATTGCTAATCATTTGTTGTCAGTTGAGGGAATCAGATAAGAATTATTCCTGGGCTGGGGATGTGGCTCAAGAGGTGGCGTGCTCGCCTGGCATGCCTGTGGCCCGGGTTCAAGCCTCAGCACCACATACAAAGATGTTGTTTCCGCCAAAAACTAAAAAAAAATAAATATTAAAGTTCTCTCTATCTATCTTTAAAAAGAATTATTCCTAATATTTGTAGAAATTTAAAACAGGTATATGATACCATAAGCCACACGTAAAGATCAGGGCCCATTCCTTGCAGGTGCCTTCTCAAGTTGAAGCTTTCTTTAGTACTATGATAGTAGTGAGTGAAAAGAAATACACCCTACCTCTAGATGCCAGTTCCAGGGTTAGATCTCTACTTTAAAGTCTTCTCTAGATAAGCTTCAAAACTAAGATTCCACTGATCAAAGAGGAAGAAGTCAGCAACTCTTCCTGCCCAGTCTATAGATTTCTGAAAGCTCTCCCTCAGCTGGTTCAGGGCAGATACAAAGAATACCATTCCTTCAACTCAAAAATTAATTCCTTTCCCAGAAATTTTCAAGTGAGCATTCTAGAAAAAGCCCAAACTGATAACTTGCATAAATCCCAAAGTTACACAGAAATGACAAGTGTTATTAGAACTAGTTCCGCTTCTCTTCCCTTCCTACAAGTCTCCCCCAACAGAGAACAAGATTCTGAATCCTTCTGAGAAGGAGTAAGGTTAAGATCTGGGTATGATTAACGCCTCCCAACTCTTTCCCTAACCCCACTGTCTCACCCCTGAAAGAAGTGGAACTTACTAAAGGAACAGGCCTAAAATCAACACAAACTGGCATTTAAAATGTTTACATTCCCTAAATTCCTGTAAAACCTTCTAGAATAGGGAGAGGGAACCTCTATAAATCTCTCTGAAGCTTCCTTAATTCAAGCTCTTCTGAAGGACATCTTTTTGAGTCAATCTGTGGCTTCCAGGCCAGAAAAATACACTGAACTTAGGTTTCAGCCTAAAAAAAAATGGGCTCAGAAATATTACTCAGGATGGCCAGACCCTGAAAACATTTGGTGTTGAGATTGGGATAATGATCATTTTAAAGGAAAACCATACATACACACATACTAACCCTGTGACACAGTGAGGTAAAGCAACTTGTCCAAAATCACAGCAAGGCAAATACCTGAGGCATATTTGAGGATCTAGCTATCCAAATGTGCCCTTTTCACAACATGAAGAACAGAGGCCAGGATAACTTCTAACTTGATAATACTTAGGTTCTAGAAAAATTAAATTGCTTCTGAAAACTCAATCTAGAAATTCTGTAGCCCTCTACATAAGGAAATAGGGAAAAAAGAATTCTGAAGATAGAAAAAGATTACTAATACTACATTTCATTAGAGAAATAGATGCAAGAAGTCTCTTAAGCTACTATTGAGCCAGATTATAAACTGTTAAACATAGGAATATGAGAAGGAAACTGGGACAGAAATTTAAAAAAAAACCCAAAAAACCTGAGAACTGAACTACCTGATTCCCAAGAACATTCTAAACAAGTACCTGTCATAGGAGAGCTCAGTTTCCCAGAAAAGCCCAGGGAAAGCAACACAGGGTACATAACGAGCTTTACAATAGGAAGATGCCAATACCAGATCACAGTTGTCTCTCGTTACCAATTTGGGCAGCATAATATCACATACTATATAACCTAACATTCTGGCATGAAGTAGCTCTGACAAGTAGGGGGAAAGAATGGTTGGGGGTGGGAATCAGATAATAAGGCAGCCAGGGTTTACTATTCTGGTTTTCCTTTGAAGTTAAAATGTGTGCAATTTCAAAACAAAAATCCAGAAAGAAACATGAGATTAATGCATATTTATTCCAAGAAATTAACACATTAAAAATAAAATTAAACTTGTCCAAGCCAACTCATAAATCCTTTAATCTTTTTAACAAAATGTACAACCCAAAACATCACACTATGGTGGAAATAACTTGGGAAAGGGAGAGGTAGAGAAAGGGATACATATAGTTTTGTAGAACAGAGAATGAGTCCAATCCCAAGACAAGTTTCAGATCTTCTACCTCTTCAGAACAGAAATGGCTGCTAAACAATTTAATACAGATTTATTGGATCACAATACAATAAGCAAAGGCCATTTCCAGCAAACCCCAATAACATCTGCTCCTGGCACTGAACCATGAATAAGCCTTACCCAATTGTTGATTTGTCATCTTCAAAGTGAGTCTGCCAGATTTTCTTCTGTTTACTGTGGCCATTTCCAAACAAGTTTGTGGGTTAGCAGGACCATCTCAAGCAAAGGCAACAGAGTAAGGGAAACATGGGAATTGACATGCCAATTAGGGAAGTAGACAGTAAACAAAAGGGCTACTCACGCTGCATTTCAAACAATGATAAGGCAGGCCCATCGAAATGGAAGCCTAAGAGATGAACAATTCTTCCTTCATCAGTAGAAGTTTTCCATTTCAGCAAACTCTGGTGTTTCTCCCAGAGATTCATCAGCTGCCCAGATATTGGGTGGGAATACAACACAACATTTGGAGAAGTCAGCTTTGTTTCCCTCCTCCCCCACATTCCAGAAATGGCAGTGTCAAAGCCAAAATACAATCAAAGCACACTATGTGGTGAGCCAGGATAGACATTTGACTTTAATGACAAAGTAGGAGAAACAATTTGACCAAAAAGAACAAAAATTAACAGAAAATACTTTTTTACAGGTATGTATAGATGTTAATGCTTGATTTGTCCAGTATTTTAAGGGGTGGGGAAGGAAAGGAGGTAAATTTTTTAATTCCCATAAACATTTACTGTAAGTTGCCGACTCTTGGTGTAGGTTCCAGATGAGATTGCCAATTAGTCCTGGATCATGTGGGCATCTGATTTCTAGAAGCCAATTTGATTCATCCACAAGCAGCCTTGGGTGGTTCATTCTTAGTCATGAACACTGGATTTTGTGTGGTCCTGGATGGCATCAACTACAGTTTCTTGTTCAGACATTTCCTGAGTACCTCCAACTACCTGCTCCCTTGAAGGGGATGCTGAAGTTGGAGTTTTTGCCAAATTCAAAGGGCTCTCATTGTCCTCATTTATTTGAGAAGCTGCTACCTCTGTGATGGATACTTTCGGAATTTCTAGCTGTAGTGGTCCCATCTCCAGGGATCTATGCTTAGGAGGGTCATCGGGATCAGAGAGGGGAGAACATATCTTCTCTTTTCCAACTCCAGATGTCCGTGTGACAAAGTCAACAAGGTCTGGAAGGCAAGGAGATGGTCCAAGGCCTGCAGGACTAATTGTTTTTGATTCCAATCTGAGTGACTCTTGCTTCTGTAATTGGGAAGTTTCTTCTGCCTCCTCAGGCAACATTCCTCCTGCCAAGAGATCAAGGGCCTGATGTGTTCCCTCTAGGCTCAAGCCATGGTCAACATTTTCTATAGGAAAACCAGTTTTCAAAATGTTAGAAGTGATCTTCCCACTTCTGGGATTAGATGAATTATATTCAGTTTCTGTCTCAAAGTTAAGCACCAAGGTTTTGTGAGAATCTAATGGAAACCCAGAAAAAGATGGGATTGGTTCAAAGTCACTGGGGATAGAGGGATTACACCCTGTGAGTGATACAGAATTTTCTTCACATATTTTTTGAGATAGGGCAGTTGGGGATCTATGTGCTGGGTCTACCCGAGAATTGCAGAAATCAACATGCATATTCCCCAGATTTCCCAGGACAGCAAGCTTCTCTACCTTTAAATTCTTAGCTTCAAAGTCTTCTAAGGTATTGCTTTCTATTGTTACTGTTAATTCTGGATGGACATCCTGCAGCTCCACAGCTTCTACTTCTGGTTTCTCTGGGCTCTCCCACATCTCTGGTCTTTTCTTGTTCTCATCCCAAATAGGCAGATCACAGATTATTTTACCTTGAAAATCTTTTGATCTTTCTCTCTTGAGTTTGAGGCTTCTGCACCTAGAAGCTCTGGAAACTGCACCTGGAGCTGAATTTTCTAACCACTCTTCACTACCAGCTGAAACTCCTTGCTCCTGGTGACTATCTGATAAATACATATTTGACCTGACAGGGGACTGAAGCAGCAATTCTGGGGCAGAAATTTTTCCAGGTGTATCTTGTGGATTCTGGAGTAAAGATCTAGTTTCTGATGGAAAAGAATCTATTTTTGATTTTGTGGAAGACAGAGTCTGTGCACTTACTTCAATTACTACTTTACTTAGAGTTTCATGTCCTGTCATCAATTTCTTAGACTGTTCAGCCTCTTTGTCAATCAGTAACAAATTGGGCTGCTCTACTTCTCCCTCTTGGATATAGCTACTCCCATGGTTCAAATTAGAGTCTTCTATGCTGTGGGACTCAATGTTGGCACTTGCTCCCTCTTCAACTGTTACCCTTCCTTTTAGTTCACTGTTTGACTCTATCACACCTTCTCCACAATCTTCAGTTTGGTAAAACTCCTGGCTTTCCTTATCTTTGTTACCAGAATCTCTGAGGTGAATTTTTATCAACTTCCGAGATGTCTTGGTATGGCAGTGTGTATCTGACAGTTGAGGAGCTGGGTCTATTTCAGGTGGCCCTGGCTCTTCTAGGTCAAGATTGATTTTCCACTCTGGATATACATCCCTATCAGTGTCACTCTGGAAGGAGCTAGAAGTCCACATGGCCAAAGTATCTGTCTTTGGGGTAATAGTTTCATAAGGCCTGTTTTGGCACAATCTTGTCAGAGGCTGTAAGAAGCCATAGCTATTACCTCTGTTTTGGGGGTCTGCTTGTTCTACAGCTGACCACTTCCCTACCGACACCAGAGTTTTTGCAATGGGATTTTCAGTGTTGTTGACAATAGAAGCAGTGACCAAACCCTCTTGGGAGGCACTGCTGTTCAAAGCAGAAGTAGAAGTAGAATCTGAACTTTCAGTTTTAGAAAGGTTGCTATTTTCCCCATTGGTCAATGAACCACCACTCAACTTGGTCTCAGGGGTCCCCTTTCCACCACTACTGTAGAATATGTCATACAGGTCCTTAGCATTGGCTGTAGCTAAACATGAATTTCGTTTCTCCAATTTTTTGGCTTGTTCACTGAACACACTTGAGAGGGGGGGTGGAGGACGTACCAACACAGAGAATAGGGCTTGGTCTTGGTCACTCTCACTCACCCCAGGAGCTGTCTCATCAGAAGGAATGGCAGCTGGCTGTGCTGAGGCTATAATGGCTACAGGCAACACTGGGTTCAAAATGTTAGGACCCAGAAAGCCAGGACTTAGAGTCTGAGATATAAATGAGTTTGATTTTAAGGGAGCCAAGACAGCATTTGCTTGGGCAGGAGATGAAGCAGCTGGATGAGGTATAACTGGGGGAGGTGGAGGTGGAGGTGGTGGTGGTGGTGGTGGTGGAGGTGGAGGAGGTGGCAACATTTGCTCAGGTATATGAGATGGCTCAATCTTTTCAGTCAGCACCATTTTTTCCTCTGGAGATCCTTTTAGAATCACCTCTTCTCCTCCAAAAGCTTTAGAGATAATGTCTGGAGGCAAAAGGAGATCAGCTGAAGATTCTTTAACTACTGGCAGAGGTTTAGCAGTGGTTCCAGAGGACTTGATAGACAGAAAGGTATTAAGTGGAGCAGGCTTGCTCACTGTAGCTGAACCTGATTTGCGGAGTACCGTGGATGGAATAGGCAGGTTGGGTCGGATCTTAGTCTGTGTTGAAGTTGTCACAACAGGCATCCAGGGGCTGGTATGTGCAACAACAGTTTTCCCAGAGAGCTTAATTTTGATGGGTTTTGCCTTCCCAGCTTCAGCTTTGCCATCTTCTTTGTCCTTACTGCTTTCCATAATCTCTTCCTTAAGGATACTTGAGGCTACTACTGAACTTTTTTCCTCTTCTTTTTCTGGCTTCTTCCAACTGAATTTCCCAAAAGACGATGATGTTGGTGATTCCTTCTTTACCTCTTCTTTTAACTGGAGTTTGATGCTAGAACTTTTTTTATTTTCAGCTTTTTCAGGGGAGTTCCCATCCTCAGGGAGCTGGTCTTCTAATTCCACAGAGACCTTATCGTCTTCCTTTGCTTCTTTCACAACTTTTGCCTTTTTTTCTTTCCTTTCTTCCTTTGGTTTCTCACTAAGTTTGCGCTTTAGCTCATTTTGCCGTCGCCGTTCTGTCTCTAGAACCACAGCCAATCCAGCTTGGCGGTCCAGATTCCGCCGTTCTTCATACAATGGGTTTTCATCCACATATTTCTGCAAAAATAAATGAAAAAGGCTCAACAACTGATCAAAATAATGAAAGAGAAAATTTTCGCCCTGCCACTATTACAATTCACTTAGAAGAAATCCCTATATTAAACTTTTCAAGGATATTAATGATTCTCACTAAGATTAAAGCAAATATCCTATTGGTTATATGGAATTTAAAGTGTCAATAACTATCTCTAGCTCCACAGTTTGACAAAGTCAAAAGAATTACTGAGAAAGTAGGAAACTCCATCAAGTACTACAAACCTTGTATTTCTCATTGTGTTGGTGACCCTTCACATGTTGCTCTCCAGAAATTGGGTCCCCCAAAAATTCCTCACAAAGCTGGCAATAAAACCCAGTGATAGGAATCAGAAACTCAGAGCCTGAAAGAAATAGAAGAAAGTTAAGGAAGTAAGTCTTTTCCACCAAAAATGACAGCAACCAAAAGAAATCCCACCATCCCTTTGCAGTAAAATAATTATGGTAAGAGGACCTTACCCACTTTGGAGTCAGAAGAAGCATTTAGATGGATCCCAAGGGCATAGTCTTCCCAACCTAAGGCTTGAGCTCTTGACTGCTATTCCTTCTATCTCTTGGGGACACTAGTTAATTCAGGATTCTCCTGTGTTTCCCTCTGCTGTTTCTCCTCAAACTGTAAGTAGCACTAAGTATCTCATGAGATTTAAAAACTGTACTCCCAAACAGTCCACTAACATGTGTATAAGAAACTCTCCTATTAGGAGTAATTGTTCAAGAAACTATTTTCCATAGATCTAAAGAATGTAGAAGTACTACTACTTGTGAAGTTTTAAGAAATTGAAAAGCTTAAATATCAAGAAACTTTACTTCTTGATTTACCCCTTAATAGCAACACTTCATCATATTTTATAGTTCTTAGTTGAAAAGGCAGTTAAATCACCTCTTACTGTCCTTCATAACTGGATTTCAAATATGTTAGTGAATAAGCCAATGACAAATACAGTTGTTCTGCTATACTTTAAGTGCTAAGTATGTAATTAATGTTCATTTCATTCTGGTCATTAGGTAGAGATCATTGTCTTACAGATGTCTTTATATCTTCAAGACCTAGTATAATGTTTTGCACACAGAAGGCATTCTTACATATTTGTTAAAAGGAATGTTCATGACTCATGCATGCTATGCTGCTTCCTAGAACTTTAGTTCAGGGACACCTCTTCATTGGAGATATGAGGAATGTGAGGAAACCAAAAAGGAGGTAAGGAGTAAACCCACCTTTTGCAGGAACAGTTATCTTGTCAGTGCGTTTTACAGCATCTTGCTTGGCCTCACTCTGGGTCTTTGAAGCCCAAGGTCTGTTGTAGGGATCCAGTGTCTATTTGCAAGAGGCAGAGGTGCTCACACAACAGCACTAAAAACTCAATGACCCACTTTTCTTTCTTTTTTCCCCCACACATAAGACCAGGGAACCAGAAGCCCCTAGAGCTCCCCACCTCCACCCATCCCCTCTGCCAACTGTTTAATCGGAATTCACCTGTGGAAAAGGTAAACACATGTTAGAGCAAGTAATAAGAACAGATAAAATGAAACAAAAATCAGGTACTCAAGGAATCAAAAGAGGCAGAAGCCTCACTTACACTTGTCATGGTGTTTAGTTATAGGCAGGTCCCCTGGACTGAGCCCTGGGGGTGGTGTCTCCTTTGTTGGTACCTCTTGGCTCTTCACATTGAGGATCCTGCCCATGAGCATGTTTCATTTTCCAGCTTTGTAATACAGATGGGGGCATAGAAGTTGGAGGGGAAGAGGGTATAGTGGAAACAGAAGACAGGATACCTACCTGTGTGTGCTTCTTATTGTGCATATGAGTGAAGAAGTCAAACATGGTCCCACAGATGGTATTGCAGTCTTTGCACCAGTGATTGCCAGCATCATAATACTCATAAGCAGCAATGGGCTGATCAGACTGCTTAGCAGCTGGCTGGGGGCTTTCAGCAGGCTTAGGGCTCTTAATGCGGGACTTCTCATTGCTTACTTTTGATTCCTAGAAGGGAAAAACCTGAACTTTAAAAGAATTCAAGGTAGTCTGGATTTGTCTTCTCTCAGAAAAAAATCAAGTAGTTGTAATAAGAGAAATAAGGATATATGACCATATTTTCAATGCCTAAAAGGCTAGACAAGCTGGGGAGAACCCCAAGGGAAACCTATGTCCGAGGCTCAAAGAGAAATAATTAGAACCCACAGTTCTATCACATCATAAAAAATAAAGCATAATGGCAATACAGTAGCTTACATATCCTTAAATATTTCTAAAATACCCAAAATTGTGGAAACATTAGGCCCCTCTGGGGAGGAGAACTGGAGAACAAGTGTAGGAGGAGTCTCTTCACTGTATACCCTATGGGAGATAATTAACCTGTTACCTATACAACCAAATACACTTGTTCAATTTTAAAATCAGAGTGATAACCAAAGCGGTAAGAAAAACCAAAATGGAAAAGGTAACTGACAGGTAAAGTAAATTAAACAAAGAAAACAGGTGACAGCTAACTCACTTATCACACACATCCTGGTTTAGAAAACTAGAGAAGGGCTATGGTGTTGTGCATAGAGCAGACTGTTGGGGCTGTGCATTGAGCAGAACTGTTGTAGGTCAGTGGTAGCGTGCTTGCCTAGCACATGTGAGGTACTGGGTTAAATCCTTAGCACCACATAAAAATAAATGAATAAAAATAAAAGGATTATGTCCATATATAACAAAACTATTTTTTTTTTAAAAAAGCAGACTGTCATTTATGTGAAATGGCTTAAAGGAATCTGGGTAAAATATTCCTAACTACATAAAGGTCATCATTAGATTTAACACCTTTGAGTTAACATGAATTCTCTTTTAAAATATAACTGCAGCCAGGCATGGTGATGCACACCTGTAATTCCAGCAATTTAGTGGGCTGAGGCAGTAGGATCACAAGTTCAAGGTCAGCCCTGGCAATTTAGCAAGACCCTGCCTCAAAATAAAATTTAAGAAGGGCTGAGGATGTACCTCAATGGTAAAGTGCCCCTGGGTTCAATCCTCAGTACCACAAAAATAAAAACACTTCCCAATGTTAAATTCTCAACAATAAGTATTATAATATGAATTAGTCCCAAGCTGGAATGATGGCATTCAGGAAATGAGAATTTTAGTTAATGTTGGGACATAAGGAATAGAAAAAAAGATAATTTTGCAATAGAGAGAAGATAAGTATGGATGGGGTTCTATAGTAGACAGAATAAGGGAACTGGGTACCTGTAATTCTGGTTGGTAGAGAGAAGATAGGGGACAGAGAAAGGGAAAAAAATAAGAATGTCAAAGATACTCTTTCCCTATCAGAGTCCTATTCAAAAGTCCCTAAAGAGATTACACTCAGGGAACTGGAGAGTTCTTACACTGCTCGTAGGAGTATTAATTGGTAATATTTCTGGAAGACAATCTGGGAATACATATTACATACCTCAAAATGATGGGGCTGGAGTGGCACCTCAATGGTACAACACCTGCCTAGCATGCATGAGCCCCTGGGTTCCATACCCAGTTCAATTAAAAAAATAAAAAATTCTGTACATCCTTTGACACAGCAATTCCACTCCTTGACACTTATCCTAAGGAAATTATTATGTCAGAAAACAGTGATTTGATTGGTCAAATAAATTTGGCTCTCCATAAAACAATAAAAAAATAAAGTTATTAAAAATATATTACAGAAGTAAATTTACTGACATGGAAAGACATTTATGACATACTGAGAAAAGTAACAAAATATACGTGAATAATCAAAAAATTAGGGCTGAGGTTGTGGCTCAGTGATAGAGAAGTTGTGTGGGTCACTGAGTTTGATTCACAGCACCACATAAAAATATTAAAAGTTTATCCACAACTAAAACTAAATATATATATATATAGTATGGGGTTGTAGCTCAGTGGTAAAGCACTTGCCTAGCACATGTGAGGGACTCTGTTCAATCTTCAGTACCACATACAAATAAATAAATAAAATAAAGGTGTTATGTCTATCTGCAACTAGAAAAAAAATTTTTTAAAGATGGGCTGGGATTATGGCTCAGTGGCAGAGCGCTCACCTAGCACGTGTGAGGCACTGGGTTTGATCCTCAACACCACATAAAGATAAATAAAGGTATTGTGTCCATCTACAACTAAAAAATATTAAAAAAAATATGTAAAGCTGGATGTGGTGGCACACAGCTGTTATCCCAGTGACTCAGGAGGCTGAGACAGAAGTATCTTGAATTTAAAGCCAGCCTCACCAAAAGCGAGGTGCTAAGCAACTCAATGAGACCCTGTCTCTAAATAAAATACAAAATAAGGCTGGGGATGTGGCTCAGTGGGTGAGTACCCACTGAGTTCAATCCCTGATACCCCCCCCCAAAAAAAAGGTATGTAAATACATGTAGAATGTTACATGTCACTTTATTCAAAAGACCTTCTCTAACTATTATATACACTTTACATTCTTAACTGTCATTACATGCACTTGTTTACTTTATCATCTTTTTCAATTTCATGAGAATATGGATCCATATTGTTTCCTGCTATCCCATATTTAGATTAATGCCTAACACTTTCATAGTGATTGATAAATATTTGTTAAATAAACTAATGAACAAAATAAGAATATTTAGAATAATATACACTGAGGTATGAATGGAATTATAGGCTTATGTGTGTATATATTTTTCTGAAATAAACTGCAAGAGTGAGAAAATCTCAAACCACCTATAAATTTTTTTGGTACTAGGGATTAAACCCAGGGGCACTCAACCACTGAGGCATATCCCCACCCCTTTTTTGTATATTATTTAGAGACAAGGTCTTACTAAGTTGCTTAGGGCATCACTAAGTTGCTGAACATGGCTTTAAACTCATTATCCTCCTGCCTCAGCCTCCTGAGCCATTGAGATTACAGGTGTGCACCACCATGCTGGCTCCAACATTTTAAAGAGTAGCAAAAGGAGGGCTGAGGCTATAGCTCAGTGGTAGAGTGCTTGCCTAACATGTGTGAGACTGGGTTTAATCTTCAGCATCACATAAAGATAAATAAATAAATAAAGGTATTGTGACCATCTACAACTACCAAAAATATTAAAGAAAAAAAAAAAGGCTGGGGATGTAGCTCAGTGGGAGAGTGCCTGCTTAGTATTCAGAAGGCCCTGGGTCTGATCAGATCTCTGGCATCTCAAAGAGAAAGAACAAGAGAGACAGACATATAAAGAAGAAAAAGGGCAAATAGGAAAGTTTCTAAGTGCAACATTCCTTACTGAAGACATGAAAGCTTAATTCTAACATATCCTTGGTTAGCTTCAGAGAACATATTTACCCAAATTAAAATAACAGATGGGCTGAGGGCTGGGGTCATAGCTCAGTGGTAGAGCACTTGCCTAGAATGTGAGAAGCATTGGGTTCAATCCTCAGCACCATATAAAAACAAATAAATAAAATAAAGGTATTGTGTTTCTCTACAACTTAAAAAAAAAAAAGATAATAGATTATCATTGGGTTCTTCATAAGTAGAAGCCTAACACTGAAGTCCTGGACTCAAGATGCAGGTATAAAGAGACTGCAGTCCTACCTAGTTGAGAAAGAGCACTCTTCCAGGAAGACAGAGAAAAATTAGAATTTGGTTGATAAATAACACAGAATATCCTCTTTCCTATACCTCAACATTAACTCAGCACCTACTATATGCTAGACATATTGGATGCCATGGGGAACACAAAAATTAACAAGTTATACTCTTTTATCCTCAAGAAGTTCTCATTTAGTGAAGAAGCCAGGCATAAGAATAATCTTTAGGAGAACGGTGGGACACACCTGTAATCCCAGCAACTTGGGAGGCTGAGGCAGGAGGATTGCAAGTTCAAGGCCACCCTCAACAACTTAGTTAAATCCTAAGCAACTTATTGAGACTCCGTCTCAAAATAAAAAAATAAAAAGGGCTGGGAATGTGGCTCAGTAGTAAAGTGTCCCTGGGTTAAATTTCTGGTACCAAAAACAATCCTGGCTAAAAGGATTACTAATACAAAATCAGGGAGGTGTCACAGCATAATGCACAACTGGAAAAGTAAGCAATCTGAGGTGGTATAAGATGTAGTGTAGTACTTCCTGAATACTACTCATTTCTACGTGCCTGGCACTGAGCTATATGCTGGGGACTATGTTGGAGAATGAAACATATACAGCTCTGGATTCTCTGAACTTTAAAATCTAACTGAGGGAACACATATAATTATATGATAATAACCATCATAAATGCTATGAAGAAAACTTATAAGTTATTATGAGAATATATACTGGGCAAATTTAACAATCTGGGGAATCAGGGAAGGGAGTCAGAAGTAATTTAAGTCATGATCTGAAGGATGTATATGAGTTAGAAGAGGGAATAAAGAAAGAATTGAGGGGCTGGGGTTGTGGCTCAGTGGTACAGCACTTGCCTCACAGGTGTGAGGTACTGGGTTCGATTCTCAGCACCACATATGAATAAAATAAAGTTCTGTTAACAACATAAAAAAAAGGTATTCATTGATTAAAAAAAAAGTGAAAGAGTTGTGCTTGTATGGTAAATAAAGGACATACAAAGGCATTAGAGTGGATTATACATCTGAGGAATTTAAAAAAAACTAGTAAATAAAGTATAGTGAGCAAGAAGGAAAAGAAGCATGCAATGAAGCTGAAGATGTAAGCAAAGGAGTAAGCATCACAATCTTTGGCTATATGTGGAGAAAACAAGAATGTAGCAGTACAAGCAAGAATTGAAGTTACCTGGATGGCAACAGAGATGGTAAGATGAATGGGATTAGAATTTACTTTGGAAGAAGAGTACACAGAATTTGTAATTGATGGTTGTAGGGCAGTTAAGGAGAGGAAAATACTAAGAATGATTTTCAGGTATTAGCATGAAAACTGTTGAATAGTGGTGCAATTCACTGAAAATGGATAATACTAGAGGAAGAAAAGATTGGAGGGAGATTGAGTGCAGTCACTAATTTTAGGTTTAGGACATGCTGATTTGAAGTGCCTATGAAACAATGAAGTTGAAATGGTAAGTGAGCTGTTAAAACACTTAGAATAATCATTTGAACTCAAATATAAAACTGGAAGAAGTATATGGTATTTCAGCATAAAACCGGATAAATGGCTTGGGGAGAGAGTAGAATTCTGGAGAACTGGGCTAGGACTGAGCCCTGAAAAACTCAAATATTTAAAGATCATCTATGGGACAACAGGCAGCTAAAGAGACCAAACAGCAGCACCCAATGTACTTGGAGAAAAAGAAGTGTGACAGAAGCCAAGGGAAGAAAGTATTTATAGGAGATAGTGGTTCCCTATATCAAATGCTGCTGATTTGAAAACTGAAATGTATCCATTGGCTTTAGCAACATAGTAATAACTTAAGTTGTGAATAGACTGGAGTGAATTAAGGAGTAAATGGGACAACAAGAACATGGAAGGCCTTGAATACTAAGGATTCTGGATTCTACTTTGTGGGTAACAGTTAACTGCTGAAATTCCATGATCTGATCTAGACTTTTAAGAAAATGATTCTAACAAGAGGAAAGAACAGGTTGGAAGGTAAAGTTAAGAAAATGTTAGAAAGCTTCTGTAGGAGTCTATGAGAAAAAAAAGTTAATAGAAATGGAACAGTGATTACCTTATTGTTGGAGGAAGAGCTTGAGGATGACAACAATTTTTCTGGGCTCTTAGATTTTTCTGCTTTGCCAGCCTTTTCTGTAGGCTCTTTACTATCGTTATAAGATTTCTGGGATTTATCAAAAATGTTAATTCCCAAGATCTGAGCCACTTTGTCCAGTTCAGATTGCTTCTTTTCTGCCTCTTCTGCCTCTTGTCGTAGCTCTGCAATGTCCTTCATGATGTTGTCCTGAAGCCGACTCACCTCCACCAGAAGTGGGTCTTTGTGACCATCCTTCTCCCTTCGTTTCTTGCGCAGCATTTCCCCTGAGTAGTCAAATGTCAACAGGAAGAAACAGGGGAAATAAATTACAATGAGCCATTTTTCATTTATAAGTAGTAATCTATCAGTGCATTATGGTTACAAAAATCACTCTTCACAAAAGCTTCTAAAGGTAAATAAGGTTTTCCTTCCACAAAGGCTGGCTTAGGTGAAGCTTCTATGAAGGTGAAGGATAGATTATTATTTTTTCTGTAGGTGTAATTAGGTAAGATCTATGGATACACTTCAGGGGCTCCCTAAACAAAAATATATGAGTTTATGAGCTTGTGTTCCCTAAGAAAAATCAATAAATGTTATAACTATAAATATAGCAGCTATTTTCTATTCATAGAGCCAGAAAATTATTCAGAGGGTAAAAACCATTCAAAGACACATATTATTTAAGGATACCATACCAACCTCTACACTGAGTTTTAGATTTCACCTCAGGTTCACCTAATATTATCTCCTATTCCATCTGCAGGTCCTCATGGATTAGATCTCATAGGATAATTAACTTTCTCATGCCTAAGCAACACAAACCCAAACAGAAGTAATTATATTTTCTTCCTGTTCTCTGTTCTTTCATATCATTAGGCTGCATTATTTAGAAGCCTCGTTATATTCTTTCCTTATTACACATGTGAATTCCTAAAAGCATAGAAGAAATGAAAAGTAAAGCATCATGGAATATTTTGGGCCAAAAAGTAAGGAAATGCTCAAAAAATGATGAGAACATATTAAAAGGACACTGAAGCCAATTTAAAGGAGCTCCACTAGCTAAATTTGAGACAATTTGAGCATGAAAATAATAATGAAAGTATAACTACTACTACTGAATGAAAAATCTATGAATTTACACTGATATTTATAAATGAGTAAACAAATGAGTATAGAGGTAAAGAAGTTCCTCCTTATAGTAGAAAGCCAATTAATAAAAGTAGAAGTGATAAAATTAGAAAGTCACTATTTAGCCTGATGTGGTGGCACATAACTGTAAACCCAACTACTTGAGAGACTGAGGTAGGAGGATTGCAAATTCAAGGCCAGCCTGGACAATTTAGCAAGACCCTATCTCAAAATAAAATTTTAAAAAGGGCAGGGGATAGAGTTCAGAGGCAAATGGTGCTGGGTTCAAACCCCAATGCCACCAGAAAAAAAAAAAAAAAAGGCAATAAATCAATATTTCAGGCAAGAATCATCATTAAATGATAAAATTAGTGAGTGGAAGATTGAAGAATAACTGAATTTATATAATCTCAAAGTACTTCCCTATATTTATTAATGTCTTATAATAAGATATTCCCTATAAGGATAAAAATAGTAATGTTATTGTGGAGAAACCTCGAAGACATCATCTTAACCAAATGATCAAAGTTAACACCACCAGTAAATCAACACCTGATAAGAATCTGGCATCACTTTTGTAATGTTTGTCCCAAAAAATGAATAATCCAAATTTAATCATAAGGAAACATCAGAAAAACCAAAATTGAGACATTCTACAAAATACAAGACTCTTCTGTCAATGTTATGAAACACAAAGACTCAGGAACTATTATTAAAAGATAAAAGAAGATTAAAAAAACATGACAACTGAATATGATGAAAAATCTTGCAATTTCTTTTGCTATAAAGGACATAACTGGCAAAATTGTGAACTATGAATAGATTTGTAGCCTCATTTTGATTAATTTTCTCATTTTGATTGCTTCGCTGTGGTTACTAGTTATGTATGTAAATTCTTTGTTGTTAGAAAACACACTTAAATATTCAGAGGTCACAAAGAGTCACATCTACAACTTACTGTAAGAGTTTAGGTTAAAATTATATAGACACACACACACACAGAAATAACAGAGCAAGTGTAGTAAGATGTTAATAATCTGGAAAAAGAGTACCTAAGAATTCTTTGTACTGTTATTGCAACTTTTCTCTAAGTCTATGTTAATAATGATAATTATTTGTGTGTATGTGTCTGTGGTGCTAGGGACAGAATCTAAGGCCTTGTGCGTGATAGGCAAAGTGTTTTGCCAATGAGCCACATCCCCCAGCCCTTTTTAAAAAATAATTTTTAAAAGTCAAACTTTGAGTCACTGAACCTGAAAGTAACAAAACCTCTCCACTTGGGTCTCCTACTAAAGTTAAAAGTCAGCCATGCAAAGGAGCTGCCTGATACCTTGTTGTTTATGAAGCCGCTCCAACTCAGTCCTGAGATAGTACATTTTTTTCTGGCGGGCCTCCCGGTCACTCTTTAGTTTTTCCCTCTCTTCAATAACCTGAAAAGTACAAAATGGTAAGATAGTCCCTTATCTTCCAACATCCTCCCTTTTCTATTGCTCTCTTCCAGAAAGCCTTGTGCTACGTATCTTTTTTTTTTTTTTTTTTGAGAGAGAGAGAGAATTTTTAAAAAAATATTTTCGGTGGACACAACATCTTTATTTTATTTTTATGTGGTGCTGAGGATTGAACCCAGTGCCTCGCGCATGCCAGGTGAGCGCGCTACCGCTTGAGCCACATCCCCAGTCCTGTGCTATGTATCTTAAGCTAAGGATCACATACCTGTACACAGAGGTTCTGATTATGTAGTCAATCCCAGAAAAGCATTATCCTTCTTTTAAGAACTATACACTCAGAATGTATTATTTTTATGCAAGACACACTTAAAGCCACTGACAGCAACTACTGGACAGTGGTTCTGAACCCAAAAGGAACCAGGGAGAAGGGAACTAATGTGTTATGCGTGAGGCACTGTATTAGGTGCATTACACATTTCATGTTATTTAATCCTCACAACATTTTCTCTATATTACAGTTAAGAAAACTGAGGTTGTGCAAAACTAAATAACTTACCAAAAGTCACAAGAGTAAGGAAATTTTAGTATACCTGCCCTAAAGCTCATGAAGTTTCAACCACATTACTACCACCTAATGGAAAAAAACAAATATGGCTTAATTTTTAATAGACCAGTGAGAAAAACCTATGAATTATCAGCCCTGACTTAAGAGCTAGCTCTTGAAGGAAAAACAAAGAGAAAGTGTTCAGCCTCCAAACACTATCTCTGAAGTCTTAAGTTTTATATTTACTGAACCTATTCCCCTTTCCCAAAATAATTCAATAAACTAAAGGCTGAAGTTCAGGATATATAACTACAACAGAAATTAAGGGAAAGTTTTTTGTTTTTTTCTTCTAAGGATTAGCTAATTTTTTTTTAACTGGAAAAAAAATGAGAAAATGGGAGACTTCAAGGATCCCAGCTCCTACCCTAAGTGTTCTAAGACCATTACTATGTACCAAGAAATAAAACATTTTAAAAAGTCAGCTGGGTGCAGTGGCACATGCCTGTGATCCCAGCAACTCAAGAGGCTGAGACAGGACTGCAAGTTCAAGGCCATCCTCAGCAATTTAGGGAGCCCCTAAGCAACTAGCAACTCTCAAAATAAAACAAAAAAGCTGGGGATGTGGCTCAGTGGTAAAGCACCTATAGGTTCAATCCCCAGAATCAAAAAAAAGAAAGAAAGAAAGAAAACAAATCTAGCAATCATGGTCACCAATGGCCAAACTTTTTGTTTGTTTATAATGAATGACAAAACGTGTGAGAGAAGATCAAAGGGGCTATATATTACTTAGGGTGATGACAGCAACATCCAAAGGAGTTGGAAAGCTGTATACATTTTCAGCCCCCTCTAAATGACAAATTTTATGTTAAAACAAAAACTCAGACATGGAACAACCAAAGCTAATATTTACCTTCTGCTTCTGGGAAGCACGGTTCTTTTCATCAGAGATCTTCTCTGGATTGTATCTTATGAGTGATGGGATAGACACCTGGACAGGCACTTGGGCAGTAGGAACTGGGCCTAGCACTGACTCCTCCTGTTTGGGTTCATCAGGAGTCACGGTGGGGATCACACGGAGATTGGGACGGCTCCGAGTAGCTTGTTTAGTTACTGGCATTATTCTATGGGGTTCAGGTACAGGGTGGTTTGATGGTTGAGAGGCAGGGTACATGGGCCATCTTGAAGCTGCATATGCCATGTAGTGCCTATAGGCATCAAAGGAGGCAGGGGGAATGGCAGGTCCCTGGTAGTTTGGAGGTATTCGAGCCGCAGCAAACTGGGAAGTCCTTGGCATATGAAACTGAGATAAAGAAGCAGAGTGTGAAAGTCTAATTGGGGTAGATGGGGCTGATGGTAGCATGCACCTGACTGCAACAGATGACTGAAACCCACTGCCAACCACTTCTGGTCCTGAAATACGACCCACTGGATGGTCAGATTTTAGGAATGGAGGGCTATTTTTTGTGAGCAGGTAAGGATCCACAGGGGAGGCTGGGTGTGGATGGGACACTTCTGGGGAGTGGGTATTGCTATGGTGTGCCTCCCTGCTCTCTAATCTGTGGGGATCTGAGGAGCGCCGATCAGCTGAGAAACGATGATCCACTGAGGAGCGGTCAGTTGAAAAATGTCTGTCAACAGAGGAACGGCGGTCAGCTGAGGAGCGTGATGATGGCTTTTTGCCATGAAGCCGTTCCTGGGTGCGTGCAGCCAATTTACTAATCTCTGCTACTCCAATATCCAGCCCTATGGTCTTCAGCAAATCATGAATCTTGGCATATTCTGGATTGGTATCTTCCAGCGATTCTAGTTTTATAGCTGGAGGTGAAGAGGATAGGGAGCTTGCCTCCTGCCTCACAACTTCACTCTCAGAACTCCCAAGGGTCTTTGGTGGAGATTCTACCTTTAAATCCTCTTCCTCATCCCCATAGAGAAATTTCTCCTCATCCTCAATGTCAGGAAAGCTTCGTCGCCTTTTTTCCTGTGTACTGGTAGAATCAGCCAACATGCTCAGAATGCGGGAGAAACCACTGCCATCCTGGCTAGCTCTCTCATGGGGGAGTAACAAATCTGTGTGTCGCTCAGGTCCCTCAGATTTCAAATCCAATTTCTCCTTGCGACACAGAAAACTTCCGAACTTTTCTCTTAGAGGACTGCTGTCTTTAGGCAGCCCAGGGAGGGTACCCCATTGGTAGAGATTGCCTGGAGGTTCCTTCAGGGCAGTCTCCACTGTAGTTCCCTTGTTTTCAATCTCTGAGGCAAAAGCAGCAATAGCACCACTTAGTGGAAGGGATGAGTGTCCAGAGTAAAGAGTGTGATCCTGGTTGGAGCTGGTACTACTGGAAAAACTCTCAAGCTGCAAAGACAAACACAGTTTTATTTAGCCCCTATGTAGAATCTCAGAACACCAGTAATTGACATAAGTACTTAAAAACTTTGTTCTTTCTGAATTAAAAGGGAGATATGAATATAGATAAAAGGGAGAGTATAAACCAGGCGTGTTGGCACATGTCTATAATCCCAGAGACTATGGAGGATTACAAATTCAAAGCCAACCTCAGCAACTAGCAAGGTTCTAAGCAACTTAGTGAGACCTCATCTCAAAATAAAAATTAAGGGCTGGGGATGTGGCTCAGTGGTTAAGTACCTAGGTTCAATCCCTAGTACCAAACCAAACCAATAAAATTCTTAGCCTAATTCAAGATTTGGGTCCCTGTATCTTCAGATGTCTCTGCTGTAATTAGAAGAAACAGGAAATGAGGCATATTGGATGGCATCTTCACCTTTGCTCATTTGTTTTGGTCTTTACCAAGGAATTTGAATTCAAAAAGATTTTAGAGATCCCCTAAGTTGTTTTCATTTCCATGGATCCCCAAAGAAAAAATATATATAAGTGGCACTGCTTTGAAGCGGAGACTGAAAACTCTGGAAACTGGTCAGCCTCCCCTTGCTTCTTTAGAGCTCTTTTGCACTTTTTCAGAAGCCTTTAGCTAAACTAGTGGTCTTGCCTGGCCATCTTTTCATACGTTAACAAAAAATATCAAATCTCAGAATGGTGAAGTAACTTGTCTAAAAATCACACAAAAAACTGGTGGTAGAGGTGGGTCCAAAATCAGAATCACTTGATTTCTGTAACCTACAACTCATACATTTGCCTTCCCTCTAAACAGAGATGAGGGGACTGGGGGTCGTGGCTTAGTGGTAGAGTGCTTACTTAGCACCCATAAGGCACTGGGTTCAATCCTCAGCACCACATAAAAATAAATAAGTAAAATAAAAGTATTGTGTCCATCTTTCAACTAAATATATATATATATATATATATATATATATATATATATAACTATATATATAAAAACTAAATATACATTGCAAAAATATATATTATATGTACATATTATATATAAGAGAGATGAGGAAATTCAGATCATCTCTTCGCATTGCCCTTCAAGTTCCATTTCCAAGAAACCCATATTCAAAGATTCTTACAGGGTAATCCAATTTAAGGAAAAACTTACAGTAGATACTCCCCAAAAAGTCTGTTTAAAAATCTTGAGAGAACAGAAGCTCTTTACAGATGTATTATGAGGCCTACAATTTCATTTAAAGAATCCTGGAAGATACAGCTAACAGACATTTAACAATGTTGGTCCAGCATATATTACAAAGGTACCATTAGGGACACAGCCCCCAGGAAAGTACCCAGGCTTTAAGATATTAAAGGATCCAGCAAGAGTCCCTAGAAGAAATGCAACAGAGACCTGCACAGAAGGCTCCATGTCCACCTCAATCCGCTTCTTCAGAATGGACTTCTTAGGCATCAGAGACACTTCCTCAGGCCGATGCAAAGAATATCCTGGCTCTGATGCTGTTAGGACACCTGACAGTCCAGGAATGGAACAGCTAGTGCCATCACCATCAACTCCCACCAGCTCCTGACTCAAGCTCCTGCTTCGTTCCTCCTCTTCCTCTCGCTTTCTCCTGGCAAGGTCCAGCTCTCGAAACTCAGGGTCTAGAAACCTAGGACTTGGGCTTCTTCTACGCTGTCGATAGTTGCGTGTCCCTGATGTAAAACTTGGGTGATCCCCTCCCATGCTGTGTATCTTCTCTGTGTCATCATAACGGGGCCTTTTGGCCTCTCGGTTCCTTTCCTCAGCTCGCATAGAGTAGGAGCCTTTGAGTTTGTCTCTATTTCGTTCTGTTCCCCGCAACAGTTCATCATGACAACTGACATGGGGACTATACTCAGATCGGTGAAGGAAAGTTTCTCTTGTTCGGTAGTCCTCATCAAGTTGTCCCAAGAAGGGACTAAGAGGCCCCTCTTCCCGGGAAATATATCGCTCGAGACCCCGAGAACATTGGGAGCTTCGAGTGAAGACAGAATCATCAGTCAAGTCATCCCTGAGAAAAGAGACAAGCATCATTGGATATAATGGACTTGGAAAGAATAAGACCAGTGGGCTGGGGATGTGGCTCAAATGGTAGCGCGCTCGCCTGGCATGCGTGCGGCCTGAGTTCAATCCTCAGCACCACATACCAACAAACATGTTGTGTCTGCCAAAAAAAAACCCTAAAAAATAAATATTAAAATTCTCTCTCTCTCTTTAAAAAAAAAAAAAAAAGAATAAGACCAGTGAAGTCTAAGAAATTGATATTTGACAAGTGGGCTATAGAATGCTTAGGGAAAAAGACAATAATCATAGAGTCCAAGAACATATCTATACATGATAATAAAACATTTCTTCTCCCTTTCCTCGGGGGCATAGGTAGCTTCAGCTACTAACCAAGGGCTAATATTACCAATACATCTAGATGGAACTCTTAGGCTAACCTCTTTGATTAGACTATGGATTCAGAGTATCGTACGATAGTCAGGAAGATGTGAAAACACCAATAGACTACAAAGAGTCCCTGATTACACAATCCATACTAGTTAAATTCTATCTCTTTGCTATTGAAGGTGTGGTCTGGATCAGCAGCAGCAGCATTACCTTACTAGAAATAAAGATTCTTAAGCTCAGCCCCATGCCTACTGAACTAGAATCTGCATTTTAGTGAGATCTCAAGGTAATTTGTATTTGCTTTAAAGTTTGAGAAACACCAGTCCAGAACAATGTTTTTTAAAAGCTGTGTTCCACAGAGATCTAAAGAGTACTTAGGAGCTGTCTTAAGAGGTCCTAGGAAAGCAGAACCAGAAGAGTTGTAGACTTTCTACCCTAGTTAAATTCTATTAGCCCCAATTTTATGTCTACATATTAGGTTTATCTGATTTTTTTAACTTTTATTTTATTTATTTTTATGTGGTGCCAGGGATCAAACCCAGTGCCTCACACATGCTAGGCAAGCACTCTACCGCTGAGCCACAACCCTGGCCCCCACGAGATTTTTTTTTTAATATTAATTTTTTTAGCTGTAATTGGACACAATACCTTATTTTATTTATTTATTTTTATGTAGTGCTGAGATTAAACCCAGGGCTTTGCACATGCTAAGCAAGCACTCTACAGCAGAGCCACAATCCCAGCCCTATATATTTTATATATAGATATTTTTTATATCTTTTTATTATTATTTTTTAATGTGGTGCCAGGGATTGAACCCACTGCCTTATTCATACTAGGCAAGTGCTCTACCACAGAGTCACACCCCGGCCGCCCTATATATATTTCATTTGGAAAAAAGACTTGTCATTGTGGAGAAAATTAAAGATCACAAAACTGTTTTGTCACCCATTTCCCTGTCTTACCTGGATATCCACAAGCACTGTGCTAATCTTGAGCCCAGAAGAAAGTGAATGATGATTTGGCTCACTGAATGTTTCTATTTTAGAAATACAAAGGACTTAGCCCTTGGTAGAATGAAGGTTAAATCCAGGAAGAAACAGTTGTCCCTTCAGCTTAAGAGCTCTACACCACACACAATAGACCTAACCTTTTTTGGGTATTATGGTCACAGACTTTCTATGATCTAAAAAAGAAAGTTTTTTATTTAAATCATAGAAATAAAGATCCTCGGGCTAGGGTTGTAGCTTAGTGGTAGATCGCTCGCCTAGCACATGCGAGGCCTTGGGTTCGATCTTTAGCACCACATAAAAATAAAGATATTGTGTCCATCTACAACTAAAAAAAAAAAAAAGAAAAGAAAAGAAAAAAAGATCCTCTAGCACTTTAAGCATGTAAATTTTAAGTAATTTGAATAAAAAAATAAAAGTACTTCCGTGACACTCATATTCCATCATAAATTATCATCTAGAGATGGCAAATATTGGTATCTTCTACAGTTTATAATAGCCTCTTTTTTGTTGTTGTTGTTGTTTCTAAAAATGACTTTCCTTTTTTTTTTTTTTTTTTTTTTTAATAGTTGTTTTCTTGGGACTGGGGTGGTCACGGCTCAGAGGTAGAGTGCTTGCCTGGCACGTGTGAGGCCCTGGGTTCAATTCTCAGCACCACATTCACATAAATAAATTAAATAAAGGTCCATCAATGACTAAAAATTATTTTTAAAAAAACAGTTGTTTTCTCATCCCTGAAACCACCTTAGCAGAACATCAAAAAGTTGCATTTTCTTCTTTACCAGCCCTGCCTCTGTTCAAAGTTCTAGAATTGGACAATAGCTATAAATAAATTTATGAAAGGTTACCAAGGTTAAACTTCATCACCTCTCTACAAAGAATTCCACCTTTGGGAATACAGATTTCTGTTTCCCACTTCCTTCCCAAGGAATCTGGGGGATTTTGAGGTATCAACTTACCCTGGAACATAAAGGTATGTGAATGGATCAAGGATGATCTCTGAAATCAAACATAACTAGAGTAAATAATTTTACCCTGTATCTATCAATCATGAACACCTATGTTTGGAGAGGAATTACCACATCACTAAAACACTATCTACCATACATATTGGTGTGGGGGAAAAAACTCAAGCTACATGGTTAGTGGCAAATTCATCCAAGCTCTCATGTTCAGCTCTCCACTAGAACTATTACATATAACCACCAGATGGAATACCAGTTCATCATCTAATGGAACATTAATTATCAAGAAGCTAGAAGAATAAGATGGCTCTCAGAAAGCCTCAGTCCAGACTTTGAATCTCCAGTAAAAGGAAACATACAATGAACGAACTCATATGAATACTTTAAAAAAAAAAAAAAGCTATCATGTCAATATAGTCAGAAATCAGGATGCTTACTAGAAGCTCATGTTCTCCTTCCTCAGGGATCCCAAGGCATCAAAAAGGAAACTGGTTGCAAAAAAGTAAGTCCTAAAAAGGATCACACCTTCTGTAGGCTGAAATAATCCAGTAAAGAACACTCTGAAAGCCTTAGCTAAATCTGTTTTCTAAAATAAGGTCACGGGGCTGGGGATGTGGCTCAAGTGGTAGCGCGCTCGCCTGGCATGCGTGTGGCCCGGGTTCGATCCTCAATACCACATACAAACAAAGATGTTGTGTCCGCCGAAAACTAAAAAATAAATATTAAAAATCTCTCTCTCTCTTTAAAAAAAAAAAAAAAAAATATATATATATATATATATAAAAAGAAAACTGTCCTGTGCACTGTTAATTAGCCCACTAATACATGCATTTAAAATAAATAAATAAAATAAAATAAGGTCTATCTATTAAAAAGCTGATTGTTGGATGCATGTAATACATGGGTGTTGACAGTAACTGCTCCACTTTGTTTTTAAATTTCCATTAAACAGGTTAAAACATGTAGGGCTGGAGGCATAGCTCAGTGGTACAGCAACTACCTAGCATACATACATGAGGCCCTGGGTTCAATCCCCAGCACCAAAAAGAAGCTTGTACTTTGAAGTACATAGTAGCATTATTCATAATTGTCAAAAAAGTGAAAACAACCCAATGTTACCCATCCATTTACCATTGTTGGATAAATAAGAGTGGTATACGCATATAAGAAAATATTATCAGCAATAAAAAAGAAAAATATAAACATGAATCTTAAAAATATTATTCTAAGTGAAAGAAATACACAAAAAACTATGTATTATATTCTTCTATTTATATGTAATGTCTGGAATGGGCAAATCTATAGATAGAAAATAGATTAGTGACTTCCAAGGGCTGAGAGTAGGGTGAGGGGAATAATGGCTAAGGGTGCCAAGTTTCTTTCTGGCATAACAAAAATGTCATAAAATTGTCCTGATAGATGTGTAACTTTGTGATTATACTAAAAACCTATAAACTTATACACTTTAAATGAGTCAATTTATATGACATATTAATTATATCTGAATAAAAGTGATTTAAAAAATATATCTGAATTTAAAAAAAGGTTGCTCAGGGCTGGGAGTATAGCTCAGCTTAGTAGTACAGTGCTTACACAGCATACATGAGGCTCTGGGTTCAATCCCCAGTACCACACACACACAAGTCCTTTAAAGCCTAATCTCTCTATTCTTTTGCTTTGCTGAGTCCTCAAGAAAGATGTCTACTTCTGTCTTTTCCCTAAGTAAATTAAAGGGAAAAAAATTCCTACCTCATCAACCTTTATCAGGACAAGGAGTTGTCAGGATATGAGAACTCCAAGAATGGAATATTTAATCCCAAGACAACTTTAAACACGAGAAATAAATCTTGTAATTGCTAATTTTTTTAATATTTATTTTTTAGCTTTAGGTGGACACAGTATCTTTATTTTATTTTTATGTGTGCTGAGCCTTATGTATGCTAGGTGAGCACTCTACCTCTGAGCCACAACCCCAGCCCTATTTGCTAGTCTTTAGAAGCCAAAAGGCTTAGAATTTTTCATTCAATCTATTCATGCTCCATTTTCAGAACAACTTATAGTCAGTTATAAGGATGTTAAGGTAAGGATTTTTTATATCTTTATTTTATCTATTTTTATATGGTGAAGATTGAACCCAGTGCCTCACATGCGCTAAGGCAAGCACTCTACCACTGAACCACAACCCCAGCCCACTAAGGAAAGGATATAACAACCCTTGACTTGGGTAACTTGATTGTCACCCAAACTATACAAAACTTAAAACAGATTCAAACAAGGAAGAAAGAGAATAAAGCAAATAAAAATCTAAACATGGCCGGGGCGTGGTGGCACACATCTGTAATCCCAGTGCTCAGAAGGCTAGAGACAGAATTGCAAGTTCAAAGCCCCAGCCTCAGCAATGGCAAGGCACTAAGCAACTTAGTGAGACCCTCTCTCTAAGGAAAATACAAAATAGGGCTATGTATGTGGCTTAGTGGTCGAGTGTTTTTGAGTTTAACCCCCGGTACCAAAAAAAAGAAAAAAAAAAACTAAACATGTATGTACAAAGAATGGAAATGGTCTATTTTATTAGCTAAAGACTAGTCTCACTGTCAGGAGACTGAGCATATCAATGATACTATGGGCCGGTTTTAAAAGGATAGTAATTATCCATACAAATCATACTGAGCAAGAGAAAAGGAACTGTATAGGTGGTAAGGTGTAAAGAAAGGTCCTAAAACCTCCATTCAGAACCTTAATTCAATTTCTTTAAAGTAGACTAGTCTCTCTAAAACACATAATTCTATAAAAAAAGATCACAGTTCTAAACTCTGTAAAAGGAAAATTTTATAACTTTTAAAAGACAATTGGTTATCTGAAGCACACATAGATAACAAAGTTAAGAAAAGGGGAGGTGAAGATACCTCAAAACCTTAGCAAGGAAAAAGAGAATCACACCAAGCACCACCTACCCACACTAACTATTCAATCATCTCCCAAAATAGAAGCAGCTGGAAGGTTGAGAGCTATTGCCTCAATTAAGAGATGTAGTCACATACCTTGAAGACCTATCTTCAGAAGCTTCAGTATTATATGACATAAGACTCTCCTCCCTTGCTTCATTGCAAACATAGCCACTGGAACTTTTAAGTAAATATTAGCAATAACAGCACTGTCCTCAGACTTCCTGCCTAGCAGTCTCCACTTCACTGTCTATGCTCTGTTCACTACTGAACAGTTTCAGAAAGAATACTTCCTTGATTCACTGCTACTGCCAATCATTTATGAAAACTCCCAATGTGCTGGACAAAGACCATAACAGACATGGTCTCAGCTCTGAGAAAAAGGGCTGTCCTGAACTCCCATCCTAACTAGTTTGGCTTTTGAGGTGAATAATGCCTAATGTTATTATTTACTTGCTATATAGATAACTGTGAAATGTATTTGCTCTTCCTTAGCACTCAAGAGTTGTAAAGTAGTAAATGAATATTTTTAAAAACCTCTATTATTGGGGCTGGGATATGGCTCAAGCGGTAGCGCGCTCGCCTAGCATGCGTGCGGCCCGGGTTCGATCCTCAGCAGCACCACATACCAACAAAGATGTGTCCCCCCCGAGAACTAAGAAAAAATAAATAAATGTTAAAATTCTCTCTCTCTCTCTGTCCCCCTCTCACTTTCTCTTAAAAAAAAAAAAAAAAAAAAAAAACCCTCTATTATCACTTTATACAGTAAACATTCACACATATATTAGATATGAATTTATCTAAACCCTTTTTGAATCTATATTTTGGTTTGGATAAACTTTTGAAGTTTGTTTTTTTAAACACTGTTAAAAATTTTTTTCCTTTTGTGTTCAGAATTTTCCTTTGTATAAGGGACATTCTTCACACCTTTACAATAGTTTACAATCCATGCTATTTCAACTATTTTTCATTTCAGGGTTCTGATTATGACCCTTCAGCATACTCTTTTTATCCATACCAAGATGAGTTTTTAAAAATCATGTCCACCATACAGTTCATTCAGAAACAGTCTCCATATCTTCAGTATGCTTTCTCCATTCACAAAGCCTTTTCCAATGTGGTACTTTGTTCTGGACACATAGACATAGGGAATAAGTGCTGGCACCATCCTTTCAAATACATTATGTGGAAAACAACAAACTTTCGGCCTTCCAGTACTAGTATAGTGCACCTGCCTTAGTGAAGCCTACCTGTCCATGTCCTCCAGATTATCCACTGGTGACCCCAGCCGATCACTAAGCCGACGACGTTCTGGTGTGCTAACACAGAAGTGGTCATTGCCAACAGTGATCCTTAAGCTCTGTTCTAAAGAAGAGTCAGAACGCAGACTAGGAGAGCGTCTCTACAAAAGTAAAAAAAATTATATGGTAGTAATATGGTCAAGATGTCACTATGCCTAAAAATGTTCTCCCTACTCACAAAGCTGTGGTTCAACAAGATGAGAAATATTGATAAAAACTACTTTAAAAAGCATCTTTTAAATTTTCATTTAAGAAAATCCCACACCTCCAATCCTCCCAAACAATGACCTCTGATTCTTTTTTTTTTAGTTGTAGGTGGACACAATACCTTTGTTTTAATTTATTTTTATATGGTGCTAAGCATCAAACCCAGAGCCTTGCACGTGCTAGGCAAGCACCCTACCGCTGAGCCACAACCTCAGCCCTGATCTCTGATTCTTAATGGACATTAAAACAGAGAGGTGCTCTCAGAACCTACACATTTTAGTGAAGGATACAAGCCAAAAACAGGTGTTTTTGTTTTGTTTTTTAAGTTCTTCTGATAGTGGTAAGTGCTATAACATTATTAAAACATGATACCATGAAAGACAGGAAAAGGAGGAGTTACTATAGATATGTAAGAGATGGCTTTTCTGAGATAGTATCATTTAATCTGGACCATGCCTGAGGAGATGTAGTTTTGCAAAAAAAAAGATAAAAAGATGTTTTAGGTGAAGGGAAAGAATTACTTGACAATTTTGGGGGTAATAGGAAGAGGCCTGTATGGCCACAGAAAAGTGACACAGATAAACAGAAACCATGGTTAGTAAATTCTGATTTTTACTCTTACTGGGATAAGAGCTACAGATGGGTTTTAAGCAAGGAAATACTATGATCTAACATTTTGCCTTCCAATGTATTGCTTACACCCTCACCAGTCTTCACTCAAATCACCTTCTTGGGAGGCTTTCCCTATAAAAAATTTTAATTCCCTTCTCTGCTTTATTTTTCCTTGTACTTAATCACACTAAATGTGCTACTCCATTTCTAACTTATCTTAATTTCCAATTCATCTTGCTAAAATTTAAACTGAGAGCAGAAGTTTTTGTTGGTTTGTTCACTGTCCTGCCTAATACATGGTAGATGCTTAATAAATACTTATCAGATGTATAAAAAGAGGGTTTTAAAAAATCATTTTCATTTCTGTATCCAGAATAAATTGGAGAGGATAGTAAGAGTGAAATGTAAAGGAGCCAAACCCAACAATCCAGGGAATTGTTGGTATGGCAAGAATAGTTTCGAAGGTGTAATTTGGAGATACAAATGATAGGTTAGGCAGATATGGTTAATATGACAGATTAGATATAGGGAGAAGGGAGACAATGACAATTTCTGACTTAAACAAAAGGTGATACCATTTTGTGGCAGAAAAGACTGAAGCAAATAAACTAACATAGGAAAAAAGGGGAGGCTGTGGAATCAAGTTTTCTGTCCTTGCTTTCTCTGTAGTGACTGACATTCAGACTGACACAGCTGGGTTTTGAAAATCTTAACAAAATGACAAGTCAATTCACCTATGATGACAGTAGCCAGAGTACCTGGATACATGTTAGAAAGGTACTCAAGAAAACAGAAACTTTGTCACCGGGTTATAAGATAGATTGATGAAAACTGAAACAAATTCCAATACCAGACCCTGAGCAGAAACTCTACTAGAGTGGTGGTTCTGACAGAGGTCAATATCATGTCTAAACTAAAAACGTCGTCCCCCCCC